GCACGTGCACTGTTACGTGTGGGCGGCTGCTCGGGCGCGACTGCATGTGTGCAGCTGCCTGCACGCGACTGCATGCTTGCTGCTGCGCATGCACGGATGCGGGCGTGCGGTTCTGCGTGCGTGGCTGTGCGCAGCTGTGCGGGCGCGGCTGCATACGTGCTACGTGTGCGGGACGGGTAGGGGATGGGATGGGTACGGGATGGGACGATTACAGGACGGGGCGGGTCGTGGCCTGCGTACGGGCAGGGCGTGGCCTGCTAACGGGCAGGGCGGGCTTGCGAACTATAAGTATAGCTGAATGAAATGGACTAGCAAGATTGGGGTACAAATGGCTAACCCTATAAAATTTGTACCCACTATAGAAAACCTCCCTAGCCTAGTACAAATACATGTTTGACACACCCCCCTAGACTAAGTGAGGGATAGCAAGAACAACAAATGGTCACAAGACCAGACAAGAGAAGAAACAAAACAAAGCTCAAGGTGGATCTCAAGATCACCACACAGTCCGAGCACAAGCAAGAGGTCAGAAGGCCAGTTCACAAGCGGTGTTATAACAGCAATAGCAGTACAATGATCACAACCTAGCAAGTGTACACGTGCAGGTATAGATATATATCAAGAACAAGGCTAAATCAAGAGGCAAGCAAGTGAGGCGGGGTAGGCACTAGGCAAATTGCAGTGCAGAAACGCTGATGATCATTAGACTCAAGGGCCTTGGTGAAAATATCAGCAGTGTTGGCCTCAGAGGGCACGTAAGAAAGGCGAAGCTGACCACGATGTTGTAACTCCCGCACAAGAAAGTGACGAAGGCCAATATGCTTTGTTCTGCTTTCGAGTCTCTGCTCCTGACATAAGGAAACCATGGCCTTGCTGTCAACGAACAAAACTGGTGCAGAACGAGGCCGCCCACCCAAGTCTGTGAGCAAGTAGGTCAGCCAGAGTAACTCATGTGCAGCCATGGCCCTAGTGTAGATCTTGGATTCATAGAAAGAGCTAAGCATAGAAGACGAGCAAGTGGACCTCCACAAGACAGAACCAGTGCCAAGGCTGAAAGTGTAGCTCTGTGAAGGCCTCGTCGTCGCCCACAAAGCGTATGAGTGTCCTGTGAGCACAACTAAACCCCGTCCCCCAAGCACAAGCCCCAAGCACAACCCCCAAGCCTGATGTCCTGGCCAAGTAGTGCAGCATTGGTCGATGACTCCCGGGCGCAACGTAGCGAGCCACGATGCTGAGAGGGTACGCGAGGTCAGGCCGAGTGCACGTCATCAGGTACATGAGGTAACCCACAAGCTTTTGATACGGACCACTAGGCTCTACGGACTTTTCCGAAGGTGGAGTTGAGAGTGTATGGCTCGTAGGCAGAGGAGTGGGCTGTGGCGAGGAGAACTGAAAGCCGAAGTGCTGAAGGATCTGGTGCACCATGTGTGACTAAGTTAGAGTGATGGTGGGCGCTGCTCTATCCCGGGTGATTTGCAGGCCAAAATAGCTCTGCAGCTCACCCAGGTCAGTGCAGGTGTGTCTCTTTTGCACCTTGGCCTTCACACGGGCCAGTGCCTCAGTGGCAGCAGTTGCGAAGACCAAGTCATTGACGTACGCAAGGATGTAGAACGGCGGCAAAGTGCAGTCAGTGCGCAGATGGTCGGGTTAGTAGTCGAAGGAGCGAAGCCAAGAATCGCAAGTGTCGTCCTCAAAGTGTCGTGCCACTCGCGGGTTGGTTGATGGAGACCGTAGACTGGCCGTCGGAGGCTCCACTTGGTACCCTCACGAAAGACAGTTGGGCGGCGCAACCAAATCTACTCGTGGAGACCACCCTGCATGGAAGCTGTCAAAAAGTCGAGCGAGTGCAGCTCCTAGTCACGGTGTGCTGCAATATGCAGTCACACCCAAAGAGTCGTCATCTTTGGGGTGGGGGAGAATGTCTGAAAGTAGTCGACCCCCTCTTGTTGACTGAAGCCTCGTGCAACATAACTCTCCTTCAAGACAGGCAGGGAACCCGGCGATTGCTTCACCCTGAAAATCCACATACCATCGACTAGGTTCGCCTCAGGAGGGGGAACTGCGTCGACGTAGGTGCAAGTGGACTTCCAGGATGCCATCTCTTCTTCCATAAGTGTCTGCCATTGAGAGGAGTGAGGACTCGTGATCACCTTAGCGTAAGAGCGCGGGGTCGGGATCCGGGTCTAGTGCATCCGGGTCTCCCTAAGGGGCAAGAAGCAGGGTAGCGAAATGAGGTACAGTAGCCGCGAGGTACTCAAGCTCAAACCGCATGTCCTCAAGGACATAACAGCCAAGGGCAAGCTCACCCCCGATGGTCGTAGGATAGGTAGAGCTATAAACGAGACTCGCAAGGTAGTCGAGGCGGCAAGTAGCAGCAAATTCAGTGAGCTCAGCGACTAAGGTAGACGCAGAAGCAGACGAAAAGGTAGGGTTCGTCACAAGCGTGGCAAGACAACATGTGACCGTCAGACTGTCACAGGGTCAGGAACGTCAGGAAGAGAAGATGGGGGGGGTGACGGCAGGACAACAGACTGTGAAATAGAGGTAGGACGAAGTGTCATGGTGTGAGTATTAGGAACAGGTGGAGGGCGAGTACGAGAGCGACGAGTATGAGCAACAGGTGAGCTAGCACAAGACGCAGGCTTCATACGCTCAGTTAAGGATTCTGGCAACGTGGATTAACGCGGAGGAGCAGGCAGAGAGGAGTCAGGCGAGAGCTGCGCCTGAGACAGGTCAGGTGGCAAAAACAGTAGAAGAAGAGTAGTACCAGTGGTAGATGGCTCTGCGGAGGAAGGCGGAAGAGTGAGAAGGTGGTGAAGCGCCGACCCAGGTAGCGGCAGCGATGACTGCAGCTGCTCCCAAAACAATGGCTGCTACTGCAGCGACTTCGATGCACCCCAAGAACTAGCTCCTCCAGTATTGACACAAGAAACGCCTCTAGGTCCAGCACGACCAACACCCTCAGTGGCAGCACCTCCAGCTCCAGTACCTCCAGCTCCTCCAGCTCCACTACCTCCAGGTCCAGCACCTAAAGCTTCAGTAAACGAACCTCCAGCATCCCCAAAGGCAGGATCATTGGAGACAACACCCCCAGAACCTCCATTAGCAGACCCAGGTAGTGGCGGCGACGATTGCTGCTCCCAGAACAAGGGCCGTCGTGGCAGCGGCTGCAACGCACTCCCAGAACCTCCAATAGCAGTACCCTCGACTGCACCAACACGAGGGCGCTCAGCACCCCCTGAGACAGCAACCTCAAGGTCAGAACCAGGGCTGTCGCTACAAGGGCAAATGCCCTTAATGCCCTGAACATTAAGGGTTGAGTTTGGCCTAGGTCCCCGAATTTAAGGGTTGGGTTTCAGGTCAGCACGTCTGCCTAAAGTGCTTTGCTCGGGGCTAATCCGGATTTCAAGTACGAGTCTTGGGGCTAGCCCTTTCCCCTTCGAACTGATTCCCGCCTACCTCCCTCCCCTCTCCCCACCCGCCCCATTTCCCATCATCCCAGTTCCAGGTGCAGTATAACTCTTCCAGAGCCAGTTTCGATTCCTCTGTGAGCTTTTGAGGTCAGGACCTAAACTGTTTTTTTCGAAATCAGAACCTGAACCGCAGGTCAGAACCTGAAGTGGTTTTAGTACAGACCGTAGGTTTCTGCGTGGAATGTCGGTCCTTAAGTTTTCTGTCCGCTAACAGCCTCAAGATTCTACCTTTGGTCGCAACAAGGAAGGGGAATGCAGCGTAGGCCAGGGAGTACTTAGTGCTAGTGAGGTCCCAGAACCTCACCCTTACAATTTGGTTGGGCAGTGAAAATCCAGGGTGATCTGTTGTCTAGCAAAAGTGCATGACACTTTGTAGCCCTGATTTCAAGTGCTGAGTTTGGCCCCAAAACGTAAATCTAAGGGCAAATTTCTGGGCAGCTCAGCCTTCCAAGTTCTGGCCCCAGAGCAATCGACAGCCCTGGTCAGAACCCCTAGAAACAACACCCCAAGAACCCGCATCTCCAGAACCAGCACCCCTAGAGCCCGCACCAGAGTCACCACTTCCAAGAGCAAGGCAGGGTCCGCTGACGAGCGGGGCCTGCTAAGGGGCGGGGCGCGGTCTGCTAAGGAGCGGGGCGGGGCGGGGCGGGGCGGGGCGTGTTACGGATGGAGCGGAGCGCTTTACTAGGTTGGGATTTTGGTACCTACTCATGCCCTCATAAGTCAGAGAAATCTGTCTGATTTTCTTGGAAAAGTCTGAGATTTCAGATATTTTTTTGGGTGTACTCTGTGAAATTCAGAATTTTTATGGCCTCAACTCTGTAAATATCAGATTTTTTTTATATGCTGACTCTGAGATTTCAGAGTTTCCCGGGAGTGTACTCTGAGGACTTCAGAGTACAAACGAGTACCGACTCTGATTGAATGTACCTGTGCGCCGACACCCAGGATTAGCGGTGGTACATTGTACCTGTATCGTCAATCACGCGAAATTTGTGCCAACTGTGAAGTTCTGTGGGCGACGCCGCCCTGCGACGCAATGTTTCCCTCATACAGCTGCCAGTTTTCCCCCACCCTGCGGCGCGAAGTTTCCCACGGTGTAAGCTCCAGCTCACACTCTGTTAGAGCACTGATTGGTCCGTTGGCAGCTTTTGACTGCCATCACGAACTCCACCACCACCACCAGGCTCCAAGATGCTGCAGCAGTTGCCACCCACGTAAAGGTGTTGGCAAGCATACGTTGCCGACAAGACCCGTTGATTGGTCCCTTTGGCAGCATCGTGTACCAACACGGTGCAATCCTCACAGCAGTGCACGGCAGACGCGCCTCGTCGTTGCCGTGCATGCTAGGCAACCACCCACCAGAGGGATGGATGGCCCACAGTCAGTTATAGGACCATCCTCTACAACCTAGGGTTTCATCCCCATCCCTCAGCTCAGCTTCATCTCATAGGGCCCATACACTGCCCAGTTCAGTAGCCTCAGAACCTCTCGTTCCTGCTCGGCAGGCTCTCTCAGACACGCGCCATGGCTCTGCCCGACAATCCCGCAACCGCAGATGATGACGACCCTGATTCTCGGCCTGCGTTAACAGGCCTATATTTTTTGCTCAGTCACCTAGCTCTTGAGAAGGCAGCACGCGCCGAGCCCGATTCTATCCCCACCTCAAAGGAACCTCCAGCTCCCGTGCTCTCAAATCCCGACCCTGTGGCAGAGATACCTGCAGAACCAATTGTCATTTCGGCATCGCACCATCCCACTCAGACCACGGAGCGAACCGTCCGGCTCAAGCAGGCGACCTTGAGCTTCGCCAAGCCTTCGTCCTCGACCGCCAACGTCAACAATTCTCCCGGCTCGTCCGAGCGTCCGCGTTCTCGCCTCACCATAAACCTGACCGAGCTCATTGAAGGGCTGTACGATGATGCCATTGACAAGTTCAAGAGTCAGTGGCAAGCACGGTTTCCCTGGCTGCAAATCACCAAAACCACATCCGGCTTTCCTGCCTTCAAGTGTGCTGTTTGTGCAGCTTATGCTGGCGACGGAGGCAAGTGCGGGAGACGCGGGAAAGGCGCCACGGACTTGCAGACCCAATCGTTTCGTAAGCACGCGGGCACAGCGAAGCACAAGCTGGCGATGGCGAGACAAACAGCTGTGCAGGAGTGCGGAGAGAGGCAGCCGCAGATCGACCACCACCGCGCCACCATGGACGGAGAGCAGTCGCGCGTCGTCGCCCTTCTTGACTCCCTGCTGTTCATCAGCAGGTCCGATGCGCCGATGGGGATGTGGGTGAAGCTAGTGCGTTACCTGGCGGAGAAGGGCGTGCCTGGCTTCCCGAAGAAGGGGTACGGCACCTACTACACCACGTGAGTGCAACTGCCACAATTTATTTAATGCACTTTGATGTGTCAATGTTTAGTTCCGAGGATAATGTTCTCACTACTGTCTCTATGTGCATGCAGATACGGTTTCGGTGAGCTGACGCAAGCGACTGCGACATGGCTCCAGACAACTCAGCTAGAACACGTCCTGGCGTCGCCCTTCGTCGGCATCGCGATCGACGAGAGCACGGATAGGTGCAGCAGGAAGCACCTGATCCTCTTCATCACTTTCATCCGTGACAACAAGCTTGTCACGGAGTTCATGACGCTACTCACCGTGGAGAAGGCCGATGCAGCTTCCCTGCTCAGTGTTCTGGTGTCACATCTGCAGGCTGTCGGGGTCGACCTTCAGCGCAAAGCGGGGATCAGCACGGACGGTGCCAACGTTATGATGGGCAGCAAGTCTTGCTTCACCACACGCCTCCGACTGCGCATCCCCCATCTCGTGTCTTCACACTGTATCGCGCACAGGTATGTATGTATGTGTACTCCCCTTCACTTGTTTTGCGTCTTTTACGTCTATGTCTTTCCCGATATACTAATGCTGTTTTCGTCTTTTGTACAGGGAGGCACTCGCGGCTAAAACAGCGGCCGAGAAAGTTCCGGCGTTCAATGTCATTGACACGGTGATTCGCACCGTGGCAGAGCATCTCGGCCGTTCGGGGCCGTGGCATCAACGGTTCATAGGGCTCCAAGAGGTCTTCGCATCCACCTTTCTTGAGCTCCAGGGCATTCATTATGTCCGAACCGGGCGTTCCAGCACAAGGAGGTGAGCTTGGCCATAGGTTTCTGTTAATGTTTTGTTGCAGTCGTCATAATGCTTTGTTCCTGTATGGTAACCGTGACCATCCACTTACTACCTTTTTTTGTTTCCTGTCCAGCTTGACTATGCCAGCGTGCATGCGCAGATCAAGTGCACAACGTCCCACATCGAGAGCCGCTACGTTGATTGCGGCGACGACTTCGGTGGCGGCGTGAGCGAGCTGCTGTCCCCCTTCATCGCGCGCCATGGGCCAGGAGGAAACCGGGAGGTGAAAGTCGAAGGGATTGACTCGGACGGCCGTCCAGCACGCTTCAAATTCATGCTGCATGAGGACGAGCTGGAGGAGTGGGAAGGGCCCGGGACCCATGATGGCTGTGTGGAACTGTGCACAGAGTTCGCGGAGGTGATTGTTCACCAACTCGAGCATCGGCTTGGCGACCTGGATGGGATGTCCGGGGTGAAACTGTTCCTGCCTGACGAGTACCCGCTGGATCGAGTCGAGAGGAAACGGAGGTGCCGTCAGTGGCTACAGTCGCTAATCACATTGTTCAAGGCCGACCTGACGGAAGAGATCGTGCCAGGTAAGCCTTTTGTGTGTGCCATTAAAAATTGCTGGCTCGTTCCTCTGTTTGTGTTCTGTGCGACACTGCAATGACTGTTTACTGCTCACTGAAGGACGCACGGCTGGGAGACCTCATGTGCATGAGCCTCGTGGACTACGAGCCCAAGTGGGATGAGATCGTGACAATCTGGAAGGCCTACAAGAAGCGCAAGCCCCACAGCAACGCTCCTCTCCCGCCTGCAGGAAAGCAACAGAACAAGGCCAAGGAGGCAGATCAAGTGATGGAAGTAGAAGACTTAGGGGAGGATAGTGATGCATCTGATAGTGATGATGATGATGGATTTGATGAGGAGAATTAAGAGTAGATAGGCTAGGATATATATAGCCCTAGTATAGGTAGGTAGGTCCCTAAATCTAACTGTTAATGCATCAGCAGTAGTATGTATGTAGGCCTGTACCTGTCTAATGTAGTTCAACCAAGGTCAACTACACCCTATACAACACACGGTCAAAATCAAAATCAGACTTGTCACTGGTGTAGACTCTGAATGCTTCAGACTTTTTTTTTAGGCACTCTGAATTTTCAACCTTTTTTTTCAACTAACTCTGATCAAATCAGACTAGCACAGTGTACTAAGTCTGACAAATCAGACAGGCCAAAAACGAATCTGAGAGCCTGTACCTACTCGTGATGCCATCTCAGAATCTTAAGAAGAAAGAGTTGGTAGACTGCAGGCCTCTGGATAGGATTTCGGGTACTCTTTCTCGTAAGGCCAACACCCAGCTTTCACTCTTTCAGTAAGGGTGCTTCACAAAGACTGCTCTTAAAAATCGGGGTGCAAACAGTCCGAGACTAGTTGGTCTAATCATTTCATTCTCTATTCTACGTAAGATGTTGGTGTTGCAGTTTGTGAGTTGTCATAATTATGTACAGGACCCAAGTTCGACACCCAGCACGAGCATCTGACGCGAAAAATATGTTTTACGCGACCAATCCTAGAATCCTCTCTTATATCGAACTCGAATTCATCAGTGCTACTACACCACATAGCTCTGAAATATCAGTGTCGTATAATCGATCATTTTTTTTTTTGTAAGGGTCTAAAACAAAACCAGTCTTGTAAATAAGGGTGCATAGTCAAACCCGGCCTTATGGTAAGGGTCATAAGGGTGAATCACCCTGATATCCAGAGGCATGGTAGACTGGTAAGGGTTGAGGTACAAGTAGAGTGTCGACATAAATGTGTATCGGTTCCCTATAGTGATAGCCTCACGCTAGCCTAGCAACTTGACAAACATATGAACAACATTTGACAACCCGTTTGATGCTGCAGGTGCATGGTGACAACCATAGAACTGATTAGCCAATGTGAGGGCATGCTGCCGTATTTTGTTATGATCAGGATTGCTCAAGTATATCTCATATCATAACAATTTATTTAATCATTTCGTTAGTCTGTCCTCATTCATGCAATCTTAGTTCGCTTGCTTAAATGTACTTTTAACACCCAATGTAAGGAAAATTCCTTTTCCTTACTTCGCGTCCCCGCTCAGCGCGCACGCCACTGTAGCACCACAGTCAGCACCGTTACCACTCGCAACCCTCGCATCGACAATCCTCCCGCCACCTTTGCACGTCACACCCCGACCTCACGGCTCGGCGGGTAACCCGCGCTCCGGGCCTCCGCTTCGACATTTCCCCAAACCTTAGTCCCAGGCCCGTCGCGCGACAACCACAGTCCATTACCGTTACCACTGTAGTTTCGCTATATATTCTTCGCGCATGCCTTCGCTCATTGTACTCTTGCTTCGATAGTGCAATTCTCGTTCGTTCACTCAATTGCACTCGTAACACTTGGTATTCAGAGCCTACGATCTCTTCTCGGACCGCACCCTCACCTTCGCTTCCCCACTATCTCAATTTTTGGGGGGGGTAGACGTCTCTCAGCGACACAGCACCGCCGCTCGTAGTGCTCTCTCGTAAGCACGCACGGCCACGATAGAGGCTCTCGCTGAGCTTGCCCGACACCCCCGCCATGGCCGAATTTACTCTCGCGACGCTGACGCAGAAGCAACTCGACCGTCTCGTGCGCCAAGTTGAAGAATCAGCGCTCGAAATTGCGACGCTCACGGCGGAACGTGACTCCGCGCGTCAGCAATCCACGGTGAATACTCCGGCGCCACCACACGCACCTGCAAATGCACCTGCACAATCAGAGGAGCCGATCGTCATTTCATCAGGCACACCAACACAGAACGACAGCGTGGGACAGCGCTCAGGCGCAGCCAGTGATGGCGCCGCCCAACCGATGCCGGGCATGGGGAGAAACAGGGTCGCGCTAAGCCCGCGGGAGCCTCGTGAAGCCCGTCGGCACGTGGAGTTCGCGGCGACAAGTGGCGACCAGGCCATCATGGCACCAATGCCACTCAAGCCGCAGCGCCCGCCCTGTTTCGACCCAAGTCAGCGTGGAGGTCCGACGGTTCAGTCGTGGGTCTTCACGATGAACGTATTTTTCAACGCAAACTACGTCGAGTCGGACGCAGTGAAGATCAGATACGCCGTCTCGCTGCTGAGGGGCCCTGCCATGGACTGGTGGCGAGTCATCGTGACATCGCCACGCGCCTACGAGCCACCGTCGCAAGAGGAAGGGCCCACGGGTCCAGCTGTCACCTGGAGTTCATTCTGCAAAACGTGGGATGCGTGGTGCACAGGGCTTCGGGTGCGCTTCGAGCCAATCGCGGCTTCTATTTCGGCGCGTCAGAGACTGCGCACTTGGCGGCAGCTCGGGTCGGTTCAAGACTACACGAGCGGTTTTTTCGCATTATGCGGGCAAGTCGGCTACATGCACGAGGCGGAGCGGGTGGACCGTTACGTCGGAGGGCTGAAGCCAGACATCTTGCACGAGATCATTCTAGGCGGGCTCTCGAATTTCAACGAGATTCTCGCGCTTGCCGAGAAATTCGACATTTTGCGCCGTCCGAGACCGGGGTCCTACTATGGACATCGCCCTCGGGGACCGATCGAGCACGCCACCGTACATGCCGTTGTGACAAATGCATTTGCTGCGCCGTTTAAGGGGCGCTGCTTTGCTTGCAATAGGCCGGGCCATCGCAAGAGTGAATGCCCAGAGGAGCTGAGGCGCCGCAGAGCAGAGCAGGGGAGGGAGTCTCCAAGGCAGGGAAACGCTAGCAGTCAGTAGGAATCGGGCCAACTACTGACGAGACTGCCTGCTCGCCCAACCCCACCGACCCTCACCGAGTCACAGTACCGATTCATGCTATCGATCGGGCTCGGACGAATAAGGAGGGTACAGTGACGGATTACCCAGTACTGATCCACGGGAAAATACAGGGAGCAGCAGTGAAGATTTTTATCGACGGAGGAGCAAGTTACAGTTTAGTTAATACCGCAACCGCACAAAAACTGCAACTGACACCTAGCCGTTGTTTACCTGAGATAGACGCGCGCTTAGTCGACGGCACGCCACTAGCCATACGGGAAAAGGTGGAGAGAGTCAAATTCCGCTGCGGGGGAAGTTTCGGATTTACACAGGAAATGCTCGCGACAACACTGGATGGACACGACATTTTACTGGGACGTGATTGGCTGCGACGGTATAACCCGCGAATTGACTGGACGATGGGTAGCTGCACTGTGCGAAGTAGCGGTAACAGGGTTGAGCTACCTCGCTGGCAGTCGCCCGAGTCTTCAACGGTACACGTCAACGCCGTCACCATGAAACGGGCTGTCGTTGCTGGAGCCGACGTGTACGCAGTAGACATCTCAGTGGTAGAGGGAGCAGAGCAGCCGAGTGATTTCAAGAAAGAGGAATGACTGAACTAGCAAGGAGATGGGAACAAGTAAGAAAACCTAGCAGTGTTGTACCCCATATAGTCTACCCCACTACAGCTTACACAGACTATGTCATATATGTTTGACACACCCCCATAGGCAAAGTGGGAGAGAACAAGAGGTCACAAGACCAGTCAAGCAAAGCAAGGCAAGCTCAGGGTGGATCACAACGTCACCAAACAATCTGAGCGCAAGTACAAGGCCACAAGGCCAGTTCACATGTAGAGTTATATATCAAGGTGAACAAGCAAGGCAGTGATCTCAACCTAGCAAGGGTAGGCATGCAAGTGCGGGTATATATAGACCACATTACAAGCAAAGTCAAGAAGTGAGCAAGTGAGGCCAAGTAGGCACAAGACCTAGCATCGTACAAAAGCGCTGATGATCACAAGGCTGAAGTGCCTTGGTAAAGATATCAGCAGTGTTGGCCCGAGAGGCCACATAAGCAAGGCGCAGCTGACCACGCTTCTGCAGCTCACGAGCAAGGAAGTAGCGAAGAGCAATGTGCTTCGTTCTGCGCTCCAGTCTGTGCTCCCGACACAAGGCCAGCATGGCCTTGTTGTCTACGTACAGAACTGGTTTAGAACGAGGCGGCTCTCCCAGGTCAGTCAGCAGGTAAGTGAGCCAGCGTAACTCCTGTGCAGCCATGGCCCCTGCGTAGATCTCAGCCTCAAAGCTGGAGCTGAGGACAGAAGACGAGCGGGTAGACCGCCACGAAACAGAGCCGGAACCAAGGCTGAAGGTGTAACCCTGTGACGACCGCTGCGTAGCCAGGTCATCAACCCAAGACGCGTCTGCGTGACCAGTGAGGACCACTGAACTCCGCCCTCCAAGCATGAGCCCCATGCCCGACGTACTGCACAAGTAGCGCAACACCCTCTTCGCTGCAGCCATGTGCTCTGGTCGGTGTCTCCCAGGAGCAACATAGCGTGCCAAGATGCTAAGAGGGTATGCCAGGTCAGGTCGAGTGCAGGTCAACAAGCTCTGGGTACGGGCCACTCGGCTCTACGGACTCATCCGAAGGCAGAGCTGAGAGCGAGTGGCGAGTAGACAGAGGAGTGGCCTGAGGCGAGGAGTACGTGAAGTCGAAGCGCTGAAGGACCTGCTGCACCATGTGTGACTGAGTCAGGGTAATGGTGCACCGTGCTCTGTCCCGGGTGATTTGCAAGCCAAGATAGCTACGCAGTTCACCCAGGTCTGTGCACGTGTGTCTCTTCTGCAGCTCCGACTTCACATGGGCGAGTCCAGCAGTGTCAGCAGCAAAGACCAAGTCGTCGACGTACACGAGGATGTAGAACGGCGGCAGCGAAGTGTCCGTGCGTAGAAACAGCGACGGGTCAGCAGTAGAAAGAGCAAACCCAAGGGCCGCAAGCGTAGTCTATATTGTGTCGTGCCACTCACGTGGCGCCTGGCGGAGACCGTAGACCGGCCGCCGGAGGCTCCACTGGGTACCAGGAGGAAACGGCCCAGTGAAGCCAGGTGGGCGGCGCAGCCAAATCTCCTCGT